TGTGGCCCCGCATCCCGACTTTCGGCGAAAAAATTCGGCGCCCGAATTCCTTCGGCCCGAATCTCTCTCTCCCTCCGAACCTCCGTGGCGAAGTTCGGCGCCCGAATTTCTTCGGCCCGACGTTCTCCGACGTCTCCTCCTCTGGTCGCGTGGTCGGGTAGCGTGCCATTCCCCCGTGCCGAGCCTTCCTCGTTTGTGCCTGCTTTCGGGCCTCGCCCGATAGCAGTGGAGTCGGGTAGCGAGCCTCGTGCCCCTACCCCGTCCAGGTCCTCTTTCTCCGCGCGCTCAGTCGCGCCCTGCCTTTCGGCGTCCTCGGGTTTGCGAAACGTCACCTGGGTCGGCCGCGCACTTCTCCGCGCGCCTCCCCGCAGCTGACTTCGGCTGAAATCTCCCCTTCTCGAGTCTCTCCCTGGAACCACCCACTTGATCGGGCGCTGCGTTCTCTGCGTCGGTCGCTCTCGTCGTTGTCCCAGCCGACCTCTATTGTGTCTCGTTGCTCACTCTTCTTCATGATTCCCCCGTCTTGTTGTCGACGAACTCCACTATGGGCTACGTAGCGTCAATCCTGGTCACCGGCACCAATTCTGTAACGGCCTCGGCCTCTGCTCTGCCGAGCCCTGCGCGCAGTTCGCTCGCCGAACTTTTCGGTGTCAGATGTTTCGCTCCCCGAAAGGTGCGCGCAGCTTCGCAAGTAGAATCGCCGCCTCTAAAACGATCCTCTGCGGTAGTGCTCGCTGCGTCGGTGGTATTCGCTGCGTTGGTAGTACCCTTTCACGCGAAAGATTTCTCTCCCGCGCGTGCGTTGTGTAAGACTTATGAGATGGTGTGAGGATGCGTACGGTTACAGGCGTACCCTTCCTCGGCGGTAAGATTGACGTGTAGACGTGGGGAGAAATGAAGGCGCAGGCAAAAGTGTGCTAAGAGTGAATAATGTTTATTACAACACAACGAAAGAATGGGTAAGATACATACTGAACGCACCGGTAATCGAACGAGCAGCTTTCAAAGAGCTTTCTGAGTCGTACTCACTCGTTTCGGCGCTGGTGTTAATTCCAGGAATATATCTTCCACACAATAGTTTACTCGTTCAACGTTACGAGTAACTCGCTAACTTCCGAAATACACATCAGTAGGTTCCTGAATAACTCCCTACACAAACCCTCTACTCCCCTTCTTCTACTACTTCTGCTCAACTACTCCTACTCTACTCGACTATTAACTCTTCACAACTTAACTCTTCACAACTATTAACTATTAACTCGACTCGACTCGACTGCTTACTCGACTCGACTCACAACCGCCAACTCTTAACTCGACTCCTCTTCAACTCAACTGCCTATCGTCAGGCGCGCGGTGCCCTCTTATACCCTCGCGGGCGCCTGCCCCATGAGTCAGCTCTCAGTAGCCTATCACAGCGCGCGCCTAACACGCCCGCTCTGTCACGCACGCCTACCTAACACGTGATCAACCGATCGATCGCTCACTGGCCGAGCCCCGTGATTGGCTGTTCCTGTTTACCAGCGTGTTCGGTATTCGGTGGTTCGGCGGTTTCGGTGTTCGGTACTTTTCCTCCCGAACGCTATCCCCGAATTCTACTTCCCGAATCGCTATTTCCCCGACTCTCGATTCACCCGCGCCGTCACATTCCCCCTTGCTCAGAAAGTAGGGCGTTAGCCACTTTCCCTTCCTTCCAGTGCACGTCGCGGCATCGAGATTCGCTAACTACGAATAATACAACCAATACGCTCTATTGTCAGATGTTTCGCTCCCGAAGGTCGCAGCTGTTCGCAAGTAGAATCGCGCCTCTAAAACGATCCTGCTCGGTAGTGTTCGCTGCGTCGGTGGTATTCGCTGCGTTGGTAGTACCCCTTCACGCGAAAGATTTCTTCCCGCGCGTGCGTTGTGTAAGACTTATGAGATAGTGTGAGGATGCGTATGTTACAGGCGTACCCTTCCTCGGCGGTAAGATTGACGGGTAGACGTGGGGAGAAATGAGGACGCAGGCAAAAGTGTGCTAAGAGTGAATAATGTTTATTACAACACAACGAAAGAATGGGTAAGATACATACTGAACGCACCGGTAATCAAGACGAGCAGCTTTCAAAGAGCTTTCTGAGTCGTACTCACTCGTTTCGGCGCTGGTGTTAATTCAGGAATATATCTTCCGCACAATAGTTTACTCGCTCAACGTTACGAGTAACTCGCTAAACTCCGAAATACACACTCAGTAGGTTCCTGAATAACTCCCTACACAAACCTCTACTCCCCTTCTTCTACTACTTCTGCTCACTACTACTCTACTCTACTCGACTATTAACTCTTCACAACTTAACTCTTCACAACTATTAACTATTAACTCGACTCGACTCGACTGCTTACTCGACTCGACTCACAACTGCCACCTCTTAACTCGACTCCTCTTCAACTCAACTGCCTATCGTCAGGCGCGCGCGTGCCCTCTTATACCCTCGCGGCGCCTGCCCCATGAGTCAGCTCTCAGTAGCCTATCACAGCGCGCGCGCTAACACGCCCGCTCTGTCACGCACGCCTACCTAACACGTGATCAACGCGATCGTCGCTCACTGGCCGAGCCCGTGATTGCTGTTCCTGTTTACCAGCGTGTTCGGTATTCGGTGGTTCGGCGGTTTCGGTGTTCGGTACTTTTCCTCCCGAACGCTATCCCCGAATTCTACTTCCCGAATCGCTATTTCCCCGACTCTCGATTCACCCGCGCCGTCACAATATCAAGAGCTAATAATACCTAGAGTGTACAACGGAAAAACGGGAAAATAGTGCTATTTCACGACAACATTATTCTACTTTTGGCCTGGGAGTCTAGAATAATTTTATGGTATAGGCATTAAGCAGAGAATCTTTGCTCTCTAAAACAAGACCAAACCGCTTGTCAATACGATACTCCTAGGCTGAGATTATTGGTTTCTAAACCTCCCCTCCCACATGCCTCACGCCGCCTCGCATCCAGCTCATTCACGCACACCTCAACGCGCCCTAAGCATTGCTTCGTGAAAGTTCGGTTTTTCCGTGATAACTTTATGAATGAACGGCGTTTCGGTTATCATAGGTGACTTTCGGGGGCATCGCTATGCCCTTATCTTCCATTATCTTCCTAGCAGGCGCTAAATGCCGTAATGATGGAGCCGTCAATGTTTTTCTCAATTAAGTGTCTACAACGCAGTTCAGTTACTATATGGTGTAGTAAGAGTCAAATTTGGCATGTGACATCAATTATCAGCTCTCCAAAGCGGTGACGGAAACCGATAGCCAAAATGCTAGGGGCGTGTAGGTGGTGAATATAGCTGGAGTCGAAGGCGGCGTGAGGCATGTGGGAGGGGAGGTTTAGAAACCAATA